ATCTCTCTTTGTCAACTGATCAATGTTGAAGCCAGCTGGCCACATAGTGGTTATTATGGCTGCATTTACCATTAATTTTGGCTTCGCATTTTGTTCCTTATTTGTTTCCCCACTTCCTTTCCATTTCTGAGTAAGAGCAGAGGACCAATCTTTTTGGTATTGTTGGGTGTTACACCTGAGACCCACTTGACAACATGTAGTGATTTAGACTTCTACTGAAACTTTTCTATGTAGCTTGTTTACTTATGGTACCTGCATTTTCCAAAGTTTCTCTTAAAAGAGAATATTATGAGTTTTGTGGTTTTGACTACTTGATTGCATAAAAAAAAAAAAAAAATATATGAGGTTTCACTGCTTGAGAAATCTGGGAGCATAGGTTTGTTGGGGGCTTGGAGGGGGAGGGGGGGAGGGAGAGGTTTTATATGCACCACATCCATCACTTTATCCGATTTAAAAACGTAGTAAAACAAACTTGGGACATATTTGGTCTACTGGAGAGACACACACTTTGAACATCTTAACCACTCCCAACTCAGGATTAGTATATTTTCTTTATCGATATTAATCACTCCACTAAAATAGAGAGATTCGTTTTTACCTAAATTGCTTTACAAAATAGAATCTCCTATTTGGAAAGGTACATTAATAATTGTGGGGACCATAATCCTCTGCACATTTCTTACTATTTTTACAGGCACCCATAAAAACCAAAAAAAAACCACACAAAACAAAAAAAGTCATTTTGAAGAGAATTTGAGTTGGGTAAGATTGGCTTTTTCTATGCTTGGAACATAGTTACCATACTATGTGTACAACTCCGCAATACACCGTCCACCACCCCCTCCCCCCATATTCCGTAGTGGCTGTATCTAATGCCGCATTTTGTTCCCCCACAGCATTTCTGTACCCTTTTCCTCATTAATTTGAATGTTCAATAAAAAAAAAAAAAAAACACTTTATAAAGTTACAGAAAGAGCACCAATTTGTGTGTTTAATTCCAGAGTGTGTAAAATGATCTAGCACTCAAGGAGTTGAGAGAAACCGGCCATAAAACATGTGGCTCAAGGAGTCACACAGCATCATTGATCTTGTGACACAAACGTTACCAAAATAAGAGGATACCACAATCTTTATTACAACTGAACGCAACAAAGCGTTAAATACATAGACATTTATCGAAAAATTTTATAGGTCTATGAAAGCAAGAACAGGGTGGCACAGGCCACACTAAACTCTAGTAACTATGCACAAAAAGGGAATTACTTACAGTGGCTGATGTTGGGCTAGTGGGAAGGTGGCTCATCTTTCCCCATACCTAAAAGCCAATTCAAAATAAATAAAATATTTAACAATAGGCCAACAACTATCAGAAAAAGAACATTTTTTTCTGCCAGCAAATGTGGTCCCAGCTAGAATAAGAAACCCAGACTCTAATCATTAGAAACTACAACCTATATAGTCTAAAAGGGCCCTGCTTTTGTATAATAGATTAGACAATCAGGTGATCTGTTATTGTTGTGGCTATAGAAACAAATGAATTATTCAAAAGTTACAAAAACAAGAATGTCAATTTTCTTGGAAACTATGCTTACATTTAGATTATGGAGCATGTTTTGGAGTCTAAGTGGCCAGTTTTCTGCAGAAAACAAGTAATTAACAAAAAGTGCCAATAGTAACCTGTGCTTACCTACCACCCTTTAACTGGGACAGGTTATATGGCAGTGTTCAGGCACAATAAGTGAAAGTCGCTTGGTCCTTCAGGATTATTGGTTATACTGTAGGCAGCCACCTGACTCAATGGTTGGCATCAGATGCTCATTTGAGCACATTTTCATATGAGGATTGCTAAACAAAGAGCATTGTTGTAGTAGGCCATTAAAGGGACACCCTAGGCAAGTAGTTTTCAACAGAGTAGCCATGGCAAACTGGTCTGCCACAGGCCACCTCAAAGAGGGAGTCAAAAGCATGGACTTCAGAGATTTCACAGGTTTAATACAGTCCTTAGAACAGTTACAGGCAACGTTTGGTACTGCAGATGTTGTCGACCACAGATTCAGTTTGAAACACTGCGCATACTGAGATATTTGTAATTGTGTGCTAGGGGGTTAATTGCATCCCGAGCACAAGTGACACTGGCAATCCAGAACTCTGTTCCGGGCAGCCAAATGTAAATTTTGTGCATAAAATAAGTGTCAGCACGCACTGATGACAATCTGATGTTGGATGGGGCGCATAAGGTCAGTGCCAGTTGTTTCGCTCGGCGCTGGATTCCAGGTGTGTGAAAAAAAATTAAAAAATTCCAGGTTTTATTGCAAACAGGGAGTACCTTCCCCATTGTGCAAAATAGGACCAGAAAGATCCTGACTTCAAAAAGGGTAACAGCAACCCTTTAAATTACTTTGTTTATGCAGCCCTAGCCATATACAAGAGAGGGAATTAGCATATTTTGCACATACACTTGTAACAAGGATATTTATGTCTCCAAAAAAGGGGAGAACCATCAAAAGAGGTCAAATAGGAGTCTATAGGTCTAAAGCTTCACTAAATGTGAACAAATAGTTACTCAGAGTTCTATATTTTAGTAGCTTTCCAGTCAGCCCAAACACTATATTCTGTATTAATATAATAAATAAAAATTTAAATTAGTCTTCAACGTATAAAGATGGGAGACTGAACCTGCACATGTTGGATCTAGCTCTTCACTTTTCCGTTTGTGGACAATGTTTTCCTTTTCATAAATGTTATGGACAATTATTAAATAATTGAGTCAGAAGCTTACACTCACAAAGTGCAATACCAAAATAGCCACACAAAAAAAAAAAAAAATAAAAAAAAAAAAAACACAAACAAGCCTAATCACTTACATTGCTGAAATCTGGAGCGTGAGGGCTTGAGGGGCTTACAGGGACAGAGTCACCTGCAGCTGATGGCATGTACATAACCGGCCCAGTCTGTGTTGGACTTGATACAGCAGAAGGTGACTGTAGTTCGTCACAAAAGAGTGTTTCTACAAAAAAGAAACAGGAGAATTGTGTACAGAATGTGCTAGACAACAAAACGCTCTCTAGATAGCTCTAAATAGAATGCAGCAGGGTCATTTTATATATATTTCAGTAAGGTGAAAAGAGGATTTATTCAGAGGGAGACTTACGCTCAACATGTGCAAAGGCACAGAATGGTCCGCGGGGGCAGCTCCCAGACTGCTGCATGTCGTTGCATTTTGTAGACTTGTAGATCTGCCAGGGAAGGAGAATTTTTAAGTACGAAGTGTTACAAGTAAGAATACAATGGGAGCCCCCTTAATTCTAAATAAATTCTTGAGAGAATTACACATAAAAATTTGGATACAGTCAATTACACATAAAAAAAATAAAAAAAAATAACCAAAGCGTTTGTTTGAAGATGGAACAAGGCAAATTTTTTAAGAGATTTGCGACTTACATTAAATTATCACTGGTGAAGTGAATATTTTTTTTTATTTTATTTTTTTTTTAAATGCGGTTTGACTCTCAGTATGATCAATTTTCAGACAGATAGTAGACCATAAATACAAAGAAACAAGTCCTGCGCTCAAACTCCCATTACTCCTGGGCGGCAGCAACGACCATAGTACACATCAGCACAAATACATATAGTAAAAACCAAAGGAAAAAAAAAAAAAAAAAAAATTTTTTTACCTGCGCTCTTTCCACATCCCTATGTATTTTTAAACAAATGGTTTTTAGTTACCTCCAATGGCCATGAGAGGGTATGCCCACCTGCCACATCAAGGCAGACCTCGCTGCCGCCCAGGAGTAATGGGAGTTTGCTGCCCATCCCATGTGTTCCCTATTAAGGGTTAATAACCATGTAGGCATTTATATAAAAAAATACCCCTTTCTGTCTCAGAGATATCTTTACCAGAAGCTCAAAAAGGCAAGGTGAATGGTTAGAGTTAAGACCCACCTAAGAGGTCTGCCTTGACGTGGCAGGTGGGCATACCCTCTCATGGCCATTGGAGATAACTAAAAACCTCAGTTTGTTTAAAAATACATAGGATGTGGAACGATAGCGGACTATGCCCAGGAAGCAATACAAAAGTGATAGTTTGCTTACACACAAGATAAATTGTAAACTGGACGTGTATTTCTCTTCCTGTCCAGAAATAATATTGGGAATTCTAGACCTACATGAACTCTGAAGAAAATCACAGTCACAGACTCGAGGTCAAATATGTGGTTAGGCCTGTGACACGGACATTTACATGCAGCATCTTGCGCAGCATCTTGCACAGCATCTTGCGCAAAGAGTAAGTGAAGTGAAATAAATTGGGTCTCCCTCCTACCTCTGGATGGAACTGCTGTTCTGTGCGTGTGTGACAGTACTGACAAGAATCTCCACTTTCACACTTACTGGGATCCCCCCATTCATCTCCATGTTTTACGCTGGGACATGGAGAAGACCTGCAAAATAAGGATATAAAAGATTACAGAAATAGCAGGGGGAGAAAAAAAGTTAAATACTTAAAACATAGGTCACATAAAAACAAAATAGGGGTATTGTTGAGATTAAAAAAATCTCACAAGTTTGGAGTAGGTAGTGTGGAGAGATCACTGACGGGAAATAATAGGATTCCCGCCAAATAAGATAGGATATTAGATCGACTAATGGGTATCCAGGAGTGATAGGAGAAAATTATATATATATATATATATATATATATATATATATATATATATATATATATACACACACACACACACACACACACACACACACACACACAACGTAACATTGTTAAAAAAATACTTTAAAAAGTCAAGGCTTGTAAAAAAAAAAGTAAATATTTGCAAGAAATCACAACAATAAAAATAAAAAAGTCCACAATTTTGCAGTTTATATAGTCCTTATTTCACACAAATGTAAAATCACTATAATTGTTTTCCAGAGATCAAAAAAAAAAAAAAAAAAACACACCACACACTGGATAAAAGTCCACAATGATTGCAACACTTTTGTGGACTTTTATCCAGTGCCTTTTTTTATAGTATTGAATTTTTACATTGATCTGGAAAACAATTATAGGGATTTTACATTTGTGTGAAATAAGGACTATATAAACTGCAAAATTGTGGACTTTTATACAGTGGTTTCTTGCAAATATTGACTTTTTTTATACAAGTATTGACTTAAGTATTTTTACCAATTTTAAGTTTCAATGATATATATCCTCTATCATTCCTGGATATCTATTAGAGTGTAATATCCTATAGGTCACATAAGTAGTAACTTTCAGTAGCGCAGAATTTAAATTGTTTTTCCTTTCTCTACCATACTGATCTGCAGCAATTATCCAGTCTATTTTCCCAGCCATTTCAAATGTATCCATGTTTTAAAAAAAAAAAAAAAATGGATTTGATATCTTATTCCTATCAATAAAGTCTGTACTGAACAGACCATCTGGATTAAACATATCATGGTCAGCAGGCATTTATACACAAGCATTCTAAACATTAATCAATTTCAACAAGCAAGTGCAATAGAAACTTTGTTACACCTCCCTCCTTGTTTCACTAGTCAACACCACCACACCCTTTCTTATGCAATAATTAAAAGTTATGATGATGTATTGGGTGTCCCTTTAAGATTTCAAACTTCATTATTTGATATACTTGAAATGGCTTTAAAATTTCATACAAGTCACATGTATGTTACCAATGCTCTACATTATGAGCTACAGTGCCCTACTGAATGTTGAGCATAAGGAGAGTCATTTGGTAGCCTCTTATGCACCTGTATTTGTTTTGGCGTGGGCTCCTTCTACGGTCTTTGCTGTTGTGGTAGTAAGGGCAGGCATAACCTTGCCGACACAATCGAGGAGGTTTTTTACATTGTTCGGTCTTGTAATGTCCAAGAACATAGGTGGTATCTGTCAACAAGACAAAGGTTGTAGAGCGATAAGTATAAACTTTAGATCTTCTGGCAAGACCTAATCTCACAGAGAGGTCAACTGCAAAAAATAAACTACTTAATTGAAAACAGGCAGACTCTTCTAAAGTGTGGGGAATTTAAAGGAACACTCTACTGCTCCTCCTTCCCAAAATAAAAAACAAAAATACAACTGTTTAGTAGATATAGCCCCAATAAAAACATTTATGCATTTACCGTATATACTAGAGTATAAGCCGACCCAAATATAAACCGAGGCCCCTAATTTTACCACAAAAAAAAACTTATTGACTTGAGTATAAGCCTAGGGTGGGAAATGCAGCAGCTACTGGTAAGTTTCTAAATAAAATTAGATCCCAATAAAATGACATTAATTGAATATTTACTGTGTATGTATACACACGATGCAGAGTGCACGCGTGTGTGTATATACGATGCAGAGTGAAATATATATATATATATATACACACACACACACACACACCTATATATACACATATATATATATATATACATATACACACACACACTATGCAGAGTGAGTGTGTGTGTGTACACTATGCAGAGTGTGTGTGTATACTGGGTGGGGGGAGGGCATTTTATGTTAATATTTCCTTTTTTGACTTTTTGTCCCCCTCCCTGCTTGATAACTGGCCAGGGAGGGGGGCTATGGCATAACACCAAACATATTTTGGAAATTCTATAACTATATAAAACCAAAAATCATTTTTATATTCTATGCCAATATGCTAAAGGCATAAAAACCGAAATCCTTTATGTTCTATTCAAGAGACAAAACCAAAAACAAAAAAATCTTTGCAGATTTGTCACACATTGTGAGGAACAAATCAATGCTGTGTTTTAAGGCCCAAAATGTGTTTGGTGTTATTGCTTTACCAAAGGATAGAGGAAAAAGAAAGAGGAAAAAGAAAGAGGAAAAAGAAAGAGGAAAAAGAAAGAGGAAAAAGAAAGAGGAAAAAGAAAGAGGAAAAAGAAAGAGGAAAAAGAAAGAGGAAAAAGAAAGAGGAAAAAGAAAGAGGAAAAAGAAAGAGGAAAAAGAAAGAGGAAAAAGAAAGAGGAAAAAGAAAGAGGAAAAAGAAAGAGGAAAAAGAAAGAGGAAAAAGAAAGAGGAAAAAGAAAGAGGAAAAAGAAAGAGGAAAAAGAAAGAGGAAAAAGAAAGAGATGTATATATAAACAAGCTTGCAAAAAGATGCAAATCTCGTCGGTAGCCTTTGCAAGTCCTCCCCGACTTTCTGTGGCTGTCCAATCACAGACTTTCCAATGCAGCTCAAGCAACAATTTAAATTTAGCTCCACTGAGATAAATCAACAAGGAAGTTACAAAAGGGTTGTCCAATTGACAGCCGGGGTGTAGTGTAACAAGGTTGATTTATAAAAGTGATGCTTTCTATCAAAATTTTTTACATTTTACAAAAAACACAGGAGGGGGGGCGGGGCCGGGCCGCCAAGCAGCATGGCAGCAAAACACCGTGGCTCCGAGCTTCAGCCCTAAACAACGGCATAAAACTTGCTCACAACTTACCCCAGAGCCGGATTACATGCTGCATTACAATGGGGTACTACCCAAGCACCCATATGATACCAGACTACGGCCAAAAATTCACGGGGAACACCGAGACGGATGAACCCGGCCTACACACCTGCATAAGCCTGCATGAGGACAGCTGCAGATAGAGAACAGACGCCTGATTGCAAGGCCCGAGATACAAACACACCAGCTATGCGGACACTGGGGGAGATCTCCACGGGTGAGAGCGGCGGCCCCGCCCCCCCCCCGGCCGGAGGGGGTAATCCCGGCTACATGGAGGCTGCACGCCCTGGGGTGGACGCAACCACCCGGGGTGCTCGCTGACCTCCTGCACAGGCACTGGCTGCCAAACTGCGGCCCGCCAGATATCTACACTCAAAAGACAGGGACGATTATTGCCTGCGCTACAGGATTAACGCGCACCCTGAACTTAACGGCCTACAACAGTCCTGCCTTGCCATCAGAAGCTGTCCTGGTGATACAACACCCACGGATGAAGTGGGGCCCCGGAGGCGATGCACGTGGGTGGGGGAGCCAGGCGGGATGCTGCTGCGGTGTCCTTGGGGCCCACTGGCCGGATGCCGCGACCCTTGGACTATGCCCTGCGAAGACCGAAGTGCCGTCACCTGTGGGTTTGAGGAGGACCTGCAGGCAACTGTCCCCGACGCTGTGAGCCCTCGTGGAGCGGAACGCGGCGGCCCCCGGCGGACCGGTGGCTGTGGGGAGGCTGGCGCCCGCCCCGAGTGGCCGGAGAAGGGTGAGACACAGGACGGCCTTCACCCTGACCATCTGGGGCCCCAGTGGTGCAGTGGGGGTGCAGGGGATTACTGACTGGCACACGGACTTTAGGCGGTGGGTCCTGTGGACTGATGGGTCCCCGAGTGCCCGCTGTGCTGCAGATCTCCCGGATGGAGGCTTGGCGCGGCCTAGGGGGATGCCGCGGAGGCCTGGCGCCCCTGGGATCAGCCGCAAAGGCATCTGCAGTCGGTTCCCCCCGCTCGGGGGGGTCGTATCCGTGGCCCTTCAATGCCTGTGGACTGAGTTGATACACGCTGCTAATGACATGCAGCAGTAAATGTTTTTTTTTGTTTTTGTTTTTTGTTTATTCACCATATAAAGCTGTACATTATGCAGCATCATGTCCTTATCTACGTTATGCTCCTGTCTTATGCTTGATGATCCTTGAGGACTGAAAAGCATCAGTGATATGTTCATGCTATAATGCTGCCTGTTTAATATATTTTTCTAGTCTTGCTTACACTGCCCATGCAGCAGTGCCTATATGAGCATTCTTTACGGAACAACCTGCTTACAGTTTAACCGTTCATTGTTTATTTTCTAGATGTGTTTGTAATCACGCACGTACAGATTTTGTGGGTCCTATCTTGTGGGACATCGATTACCTCTTACCTGAGGGCACGAATTAAAGACTTACAACATACTACCCTGTTAAACGTAGGGAGAGGAAGTTATACAGCAACCAAATAAGCCCCTAATCCCCCATTACCTAATCCTTGAATGTCATGTTAACATCTCAGAGTGAAATACTAACCCTTTCTCTGATTTCCTAATGACGGGCCCTTGTGTTATACCATAGTTTAATCCCACCCTGCCAGCATATGGGGACTCACTAATGGGTTGCTGCGTATTGTTTAACCAAATAAAGTTGAGAATAGGCATAAAACATTATTTAACTGGACCCGTTATAATTCAGCGTAGACAACAGTGCAAATACCTCGGTTCAGATTTCGCTAAACATTGTACCGCTAACATAAGCTGACTGAAAAATAAGATGCAGAGAATGATCTCTTCTCGCCAATGTTGGAACGGATATGCAATATGACTTTGTTTAACCTTAGTTATGTTACTTGTGTTCACATAATCTAACCTTTCTGCCTTACTAGGCTTTGACTGTTCTCATTCGATATAAAATGCACTCTGTGGCATATGCCTATGTCGAAAAGTTTACTATGCTCATTTGTCTCCCCTGCGTGGGATGACTGCTTTTCTTATGCACCAATAAACTTATTCAAAACAAAAAACACAGGAGGATATACTCTTTACACAACCTGAAATGATTTCGGGTCTGGATTGCCTCTTTAAAATGACTGATACATAACTTGTCCTCAGACTTTTCTAATTCACTTTTAAAGTTTGTTTGCTCACAAATAAAAACACACAATTTCAGAAATAAGCACCACCTTACAGAGATTCTCACCCTGCCAGCGTGGCTCCTCTCCCAGAATCTTCTCGATCATGGCATGGCTGGCAGCAACAGCCGTCTGCCCTTCTAGTCCCCCATCTAATGCTGGCTGTCCATTCTGTAAGGCCTCCATTGCTTGCAACTCCCTATTAGAGGAAGGAATGGTTAGCAAGCATATAAATGGGGGCAACAATACACAGAAACAATCAATGCAGAGAACAAAGTGAAGGACTATCAAAACAAAGAAGTAAAAGCAAAGTAATATAATAAAATATATTCATGGACCCATTTTGTGTGTTCCTCATGTTAACACAAATGAAACATAAGAAGCCAAAAGTGAAAAGTAAAGGTGATGATCCATGGTGGTCTTATTTCACATTGCAGTTCCTTTTTCACTTTTGGTTTCTACAGAAACAATCACGGACATACATGGTTTAAAAATCTGCTTACTTGGCATATAGCTAATGCTACATAACTTTTTTTAAGTGATGAAAAGGCATTTTAACAGAAAATTACAGTTAGACAAAGACCTTACAAAAAAAAACAAAAAAAACAACCAATACGTAAATCACAAGTATATATGGTACCTTATATCATAAACAGGAGAACGCAGATCATGAGGCCCATGAGCAAATGCGCAATGCTGCCCATTTTTCGTACAGTGACCCTTTGAATCAGTTTCATGGATACAAATACCGGTCTTGTAGTAGCGCAGATGATACCTTCTTTCTGTGTCTCCTGTAGTCCGGTGTAGAAAAGGGCACCTGGACAAAACACAGGAAATATGTGGCATAACTTAGCAGTAAAAGCAAATTACTCAAAGTATTATAGTATCACTACTTTTGGTATGCCAACTACCAACAAAAAGCAAGGTATTGCAATGGGGGACCAGGTTCACACCTAGTTATGCCAACCTTTTTTATGGCAGACTGATTCCACTGCCATTTGGGGGGGGGAAGGAGAGCATCTTTTGAATAAGAACCTGTTCACCTTACACTATATAGATCACCTTTTCCTAATCTAGAAAGGTTCAGAACTTTTCTTAAAGCACTTAAATGAAAAATGATTGTGGTATTGGCATAACCTTTACATTTAGTAAACAAAAATTGCCACACTCTCAGATATCTATACAAGATTAAATACATACCCGCACAAAAAAAAAAAAAATAATAAATAAATTCTTTTTTAACATGCAAATGCATTAATTTACCAAATGAGCTGCCAATATGCCCCTTGGCTCAATTGGACTACCAAAGAGCCCATTTTTACAACTCAGGAGGAAATTGTTCCAAACCACTGGAGTATTAAAAAAAAAAACAAAAAAAAAAACACACAAGCCATCTGCTCTAAAGAGAAATTTTTAGAAAAAGGAAAATAAAATAAGAATCCAGAAAATATAAATTGATGACATTATAGACATAGAAGACCCAGACAGAAACAACCTTTGTAAAATCTAGATGATTGATATAACTTTCTATTATATGAAACGGTGTTAATGTTGAATCTTCTTAATTTCTTCTGGTCTTCAGTTGATTGATATATATATATATATACACACACACACACGTCTTTTGTATATATAGTCGTGGGCCAAATGCTCGCCACAATAATATATGTCTATATTATTGAAAAGTACTAATACACAATCTGACTTACGGTTTCTTCAGGTTTATTCTTTGTTACGGATACATAATAAAGGATGTTACAGGATAGTAGACATTCAACAGCAGATGGTAATTGCTGTACGTCTGATGGGAGAGTTACATTGTTGTACAGAGCCAAGAGAGAGCGACCTCGTGTCCCTCTGTTACTATATAGATGTGCTAATACTAACGTCAGCATTTAACTCAACCAGTACATTATGAAAACAATGTCACAATTTATATATCACTATTATACATATATCAATCATTCGAATTCGGTCTTTCAATTGATAGACAAGTGCCTTCCCGTAATGAAGCTGGGAAACAAACACAAATTACTCACTCATCTCCTTCTGGGCAGAGTCCTGACGTCTCATCATACTTTGTACAATAGATATCTGGGCTATAGTTAAAAGTCCCATCTCTCCTTCTCACCGACCTTCGCCGACGCTGGTTGACAAAATGCCAGTGGAAACAAGTATAGGGACGATGCTGGGTACACTTGTGCTGTACGAAGAGGGGGCACTGTTCAGTCCTGAACTCTTTTAAATACCTGCAAGGATATAAAGAAAACTATATTAAATAAGGAAAATAAGAATTTCCCGGGACTTCCGGAGAGAAAAAATAAAAATACAAAATCTTCCTCTGATGCCATGGTTATTGCCCCATGATGTTCTTGACACTTTTCAGTCAGTAATAAACTCCAAAGTTGTGTGCTCATGTGGCATTGTCCGTTTAAATTAACTTGCAAGGTGGGCTCTGGCTATGCAAAACCCCTCAAACTTAAGAAACCTATTTTGGGTTAAACACTGAAGTGTATTGTATTTATTTTCTTTAATAAGATATTCTAACGTTAATATACTGGTCACCTCACCCAAATTACTTCAGTTACACAGTGTTCTGATTCCAAGACATGGTGGTTTTAATCATTTAAACCAGGAGGGCACCAAGTGTTTACGTAGATTAAATTGGTGCTCCAACGTCTGCTTCTTTGAAGAAAGTTCAATGGAAAGATTTAACAAGAGAGTCAAGACCCTTAGAGGAACACTCCAAGCATCATACCAGTACAGTATGCTGGTTTATGTACTGAACAATACTCAAGCGTCATATGCTTTTCTAGATATATCATCGTTTTTTGTCTTATGTTTTCAATACACACCCCAGCTTTTAAAGCATAAATTACTATATGAATTCTCGGCATAATTTTAGCCCGAGTGTTAGTAAGTAGTAAAGCTGCAAGCCAGATGTCACAGCTGTCACTATTGCTCCCACCGGCTGACGATATTTTTCCGCATCTAATGTAACTATCTAGGTTGGTATTTAATGTGCTTCTGTTATAATCCGGTCAGGCAACTGGTTGACTTTACGTTAGTTAACATATTTCTGGTTGTAAATTAAATGGTAGAAGAAAATACTATATTCTCTAGGTAATATATAGTAGTGCAGTGAGGGGATAATATATATATATCCCCCTCACTGCACTACCCACAACCACCATCTTCTTTGGGCAGGTCCTCTAACATTTGATGATTATCATCACTATTTAAACGAAGGTCAGGGAATAGGGGGACATACATCCCTCAAGAAGTCTATCAAGACAAACGCATTAGATATATGCAAAAAGGGACTTCGGGTTTGTTTTTGTCCTGGGACTCCATTCTTTTACTCTTATCACGGCCGGTTTCTGGTTTTACCTACACCATCCAGATCCGCTGTAGACGGAAATATGCTGTTTTTTTTAACTTTAATCTTATAAGTGCAACCGAAATAAAATTGTATAGTTTATATCTACCATCTGCACTATTTTTGCTTTCTGTTTCTATCACAAGCTGGAAAATACCACGTCTGATGTGACACGGATTATTCCTATATATTGATACCTACATGATGGACTTTAAATCATCCAGATTCTTGTGAGTGCAATTAATAATTTGTAGGTTGAGTCACACTTGATATTACACTATGTCAATTTTATTTTCTTCCCAGATATCTGGACACATTCCATTTGTTGTTGTTTAAGATTGTATTAACCTCTATTTTAACTATATTCAGGAGATATCATCTCTTATTCACACCCCCTACTTACATGCTAGTTTTGTTTCTTAGTTGTTTGGTGTATAGAGGGCACACTGTTTAAGTGAGTGTTTATGTTGTATATATAGTGGTTATATAATTTTCTGTGCTTTTTTTGCAGGCCCTCTTTGGCTCTTAAGCGCCCTGAGCCGATATCACGGTTGTACTCTAGTGCATCCGTGAGAGTTCAGCAATGAGGCGTATAGAGGATAAAGACAATTTATCGTTGCTCTGCAACTATCGCTGGGTGAAATGGACACTTCTAGATGGTGTCTAGAAGTGTCAGGCACTGGAAAATATAGACACAAAGTAATCTCAGTAGATCTCTTGAGTGGAATGAAATTTCTGTTAAGTTCCAACACAGTCAAAATTAGTATTTCATATTAAAAAAAAATAAAAAATAAAAAACACAACACTTACATAGTCTTGAAATACTTTTTTCCCCCCGGGGGGGAACTTGCGATCAAGCATCACACCATGTATCTATCCATGCTCTGAATTATTTAAAATGGAATCAACCAAATTTCAGATAAGTAAATTTTTCTACCTGTATCTTCATTATTGGGTTGTGATTTTCCCACATTACAAACACCCCGATTTTATTCAGGTTCACCTTAAACCAGTTGCCACTTATTCACAATGACTCAAGCCACGTCAAAATGTCCCATGAACACAACACTGACTTCAAACAGAGATAGAGAATGAATATACATTGCAATTCACACCTGATCATTTGAAATTAAATTATTAAGCCTTCCTTGGAACCTTTTCTGTCAATGAGGTGTGCCTTGGTGCTAAAAAGGTTAAAAAAAAAAAAAAAAAACCAAACCCAAACAAAAAAAAAAACCAAACCCAAACACACACACCACTTTGCTCTGACAAAAAAGGCTTGCTCAGACAATTTGTACTAAATTTTACCAAATTTGCCAAACGCAGCACCAAATTCACATCTATGTCACCTAGGGAATAAGAATTGTACATTTTCAAACCTTGAGAAAGCTTTTGAGATGTCAATGAGCACAAGACCACAAGTTGACATGGCACTCAAAAACACCATAACCACTGTGTACCATAGTGGTTATGATGCCAGCAGTCCCCTGACACCACCTGACTGCCAAGAGTCAGACTGCTTTTGATTGGCTTTAAATGTCCCTTGGTCAGTGGGCTGCGGTTCAGTCCTTCATAATTTATTAAAATGGGAATAAACGCTAGCCTAGGCTGCCAATGAACAAATTCTACTCCAAGTAAGCTATGCTTCCAGTTTGGCTATTTTGGTCAAAATTGTAAACTCTGAATTTAACAATCACTTAAGGGCAGGGGGAGGCAACCTTCGGCACTCCAGGTGTTTTTGACTACATCTCCCATGATATAGTGCCAGTATTACGGCTATACCCCTGCTTTAGGGAATAACCCTCTAATATAAAGTCAAAGAGCTTCTAAGGAGTATGGTCAGTCATCAGATCTAAAACAAAATTATTCATCCTATCTAGGATGTTCTGTAGAACAGTAGATTCACAAACAGAGCAAGAGGCTGTTCCTCTTAAAAAATGGTGAAATATTCTACTACACATCGTTCATGACAGCATGCCAAAAATGATAGAAACTGTTCAAGACCGCAGTCTCAAAGGCCACATAAAATGAGAAACACGATGAAGCTTTTTCAATATTCTCCCCATGCACAGAAAGTAGTGATAGACCGTCACAACGCACACTGTCATGTCTCCTTAATCCAACACCTATACCATCAGTGCTAAGGGGTATAATGTATTTTAGATATCCATCTGACTCTGTACCGCACAACATCTATGTATTGTACAGAATTTAGCAGTCCAAGGATGGGCGCCATGGGGGGAGAAGAAAAATAAGTTTGTTTTTTGTTGCGGTTTTTAAACTGGATAAAGGAAACATTTGCCGTAATTCTGCCAATACAAGAAAAAGGCACAGGGAAAGTACATAATTGAAAAGCACAGTTAAAGCAGCTCTAATAGTTCTAAAAATATACACAGTCTTTATGAAAAGCAATTTATGATGCTTTTAGAATTTTTGAAATTCCAACGCATGCAAAAGATATGCATTAACAAGATATGCATTACACCCCTCACATTTGTTAATGTTTGATTATATCTTTTCAAGTGACAACACAGGAGAAATGACACTGCTATAATGTAAAGTATTAAGTGTACAGAGTGTATGACAGTAAGTTTGCTGTCCCCTCAAAATAAAACAGCCATTAATGTCTAAACCGTTGGCAACAAAAGAGAGTACACCCCTAAGTGGAAATGTCCAAATTGGGCACAAAGTGTCAATATTTTGTGTGGCCACCATTATTTTCCAGCACTGCCTTAACCCTCGCGGGCACCAGAGCTTCACAGGTTGCCACTGGATTCCTCTTCCACTCCTCCATGACGACATCACACAGCTGGTGGATATAAGAGACCTTGCGTTCCCCCACCTTCTGTTTGAGGATGCCCCAAAGATGCTCAATAGCGTTTACGTCTGGAGACATGCTTGGCCAGTCCATCACCTTTACCTTCTTTAGCAAGGAAGTGGTCGTCTTGGAGGAGTGTTTGAGGTCATTACCATGTTGGAATACTGCCCTGCGGCCCAGTTTCCGAAGGGAAGGGATCATGCTCTGCTTCAGTATGTCACAGTACATGTTGGCATTCATGGTTCCCTCAATGAACTGTAGCTCCCCAATGCCGGCAACACTCATGCAGGCCCAGACCATGACACTCCCACCACCATGCTTGACTGTAGGCAAGACACTTGTCTTTGTACTCCTCACTTGGTTGCCGCCACACACGCTTGACACCATCTGAACCAAATAAGTTTATCTTGGTCTCATCAGACCACAGGACATTGTTTCAGTAATCCATGTTCTTAGTCTGCTTGTCTTCAGCAAACTGTTTGCAGGCTTTCTTGTGCATCATCTTTAGAAGAGGCTTCCTTTTGGGACAACAGCCATGCAGACCAATTGATGCAATATGCGACGTATGGTCTGAGCACTGACCGGCTGACCCCCCACCCCTTCAAACTCTGCAGCAATTCTGGAAGCACTTATACGTCCATTTCCCAAAGACGACCTCTGGATAGGACGCTGAACACGTGCACTCCACTTCTTTGGTCAGCCATGGCGAGGCCTGTTCTGAGTGGAACTTGTCCTGTGAAACAGCTGTATGGTCTTGCCCAATGTGCTGCAGCTCAGTTTCAGGATCTTGTCAATCTTCTTATAGCCTATGCCAGCTTTATGTAGAGCAGCAATTCTTTTTTTCAGATCCTCAGAGTTCTGTGCCATGAGGTGCCATGTTAAACTTCCAGTGACCAGTATGAGAGAGTGTGAAAGCGATAACCCCAAATTTAACACACCTGCTCCCCATTCACACCTGAGACCTTGTAACACTAATGAGTCACATGACACCAGGGAGGAAAAATGGCTAATTGGGCCCAATTTGGACATTTCCACTTAAGGGTTTACTGCCAACTGTTTAGATATAATGAAAGCAAATTTACACTGTTATACAGGCTGTACACTTACTACTTTACATTAAAGCAGAGTGTCATTTCTTCAGTGTTGTCACATGAAAAGATAAAATAAATTTTACAAAAATGTGAGTGGTGTACACACTTTTGTGAGATACTGTACATCTCCCAGACTGCTCCTGGTGGTCGCCACCATGACAGTGGACTTGTAATTTTAGGAAGGGGATGGAGTTAATGAAAAAAAAAAAAAAAAAACACACAATTAGAACAAAAAAATCCAAAGTCTTCACAAGTGACAGTGACAATTTAATCTATGCAAATTAAAGTACCTATAGCAAATATCTTATACAGCCATATGACTTTTCCACATACAAGTAATCAATAAAGGCACACTATAGTCACCAGAGCAACAGCTTAATGTGGTCAGTGATGAACAGTGTCTCCACACTCTGCATGGAGATGCTGAACGCTCATCGATTCAATGCATCTCTGTGGAGTTGCGGATTGGCACAGTGCGGCATTTTGCCATGCATGCGCAATAGCCTCCCAATGCTTTCCTATGTGAAAGCATTGGATAAGATCGTCAAATTTGATCAGCTCAGCCATGGAGGCGGAACAGGGCAGGGCCAGCAACAGCGAGACCGGCGCAGTGCTGGAAAATCGCCTTTTTAAAAAAAATAAAAAGTTTAAGGAGTAGGGGGCCAGTGTCTAAACCGTGCTTTTAAAAACTACAGTAACAAGAATACAGGTTTGTATTCCTGACATTATATAGTGTTCCTTTAAGCAGTAAGACAGAAAATGTGCACAGGGAATTCAAAGTATTCTAAGTCAATGGAAAATACAGTTAACCAAGAAAAGTACAGCTAAAAAGACAGCTCAGCGAGAATAGGAAAGGGGTGGGGGGGTTTAAAAACACACACAAAAAAAAAAAAAAAGGATACGTCATAAACAATGACAGCATGGAATACAAAACACAATGAAAGAAGCCAAAAGTGACTGAAGAAAATATAACAGAAAAAGTGCAACAAGAAAAACTGGACAACAATCAACAATGTTAGCAGGCAGTCATAGAAGAGATGCATTTCTTACTACAGAGTGCAAAATACACCAATTAGAGCAATTAAATATTAATAAAGCTAATCCCTCTGATGCAGAAGTTCAGCCCCGTCAACAAAGAAGAAATTACAATCTTTTAAGAACAAGAGGAGTGAAAAGCCACATGACTCCCTCAAACGACTGAGATCGTCCTTTTATACATCTTCTATATAAATTATTTTTAGATGAAAACATCACTGTAACGGATCACGTGGCACCCCAACTGGGTACCTCCATTGAAGGATGCTCCTTGCGCTTCCTGAAGGCTCCAAGCACTCCAGCCGACACCATAACCACTGTAGGCTCCTTCAGAGAGCAAGACAGGAACAAACTCTTACAAGAGCTTAGTAGTGATATAGCAAGAGAGTATGCAGAGCATAGCAATTCCTTGTAGCAGATTCCCTCAATAAGAGACGGCACTCCAAATTGAAGGTGAAGTAGAACTGATGTTTTAATGAAACACTCTGCTTTTATGCACATTTTATACACCTAGTACCGCCCACAGGGTTTTGAAAAACAACCAAACACGTAATATATAGTAAAACACTCCCATTCATTCCCACAAAATCCCCCCCCTCTGCCTGTGATATAATTATCTCCAGCATACAGAAAATCTCTGTTCACAACAGCAAAAATACATAATTCCTATAATACTGAACAGAACCCCCACACAGTGGTGTATCCTGGTTTTGTGCTGCCCTAGGCAGGACAAAACTCAGGCACCCCCCTCCCCCCACCCAACCCTTCCCCCCCGCCCCACCTTCTAAATACACACACACACACAGCCAGCCACAAACACACACACAGTCAGACACAAACACACAGTCAGACACAAACACACACTAACTTTTTTTTTAAATTTAAACCCTCCAACCTCCTTACTTTTGGGAGTGCTGGGGGGGAGGTCTCTCTCTCCCTGGTGGTCCAGTGGCTGCCGGTCGGCTCTGGTTGCTGTGCGGGCGGCTGGCGAGGGAGCACTTCCTCTGAGCTGACTGCTCAGCTCCCTCGCGCACCGCCCGCAGAGTGAGGCTGGGAGCCGGAAGATGACGTCATATTCCGGCTCCCAGCCTCACTCTGCGGCGCGCGATGGAGCTAAGCAGTCAGCTCAAAGGAAGTGCTCCCTCGCCAGCCGCCCGCCCAGCGCCGCCCGCTCAGGATGTCAGTTAGCCGCCAGGCTAACTAGGCATTTGCCCTGGGCATTTGGGGGGCGGCGTTTTTTGCCGCCCCCTGAAAAATGCCGCCCAAGGCAAATGCCTTGTGTGCCTCGCGGCTAACACATCACTGCCCCCACATTCATTTATACCTATACCCAGATAGCTTGGATCTGAGCGCTCAATATATCCGAACAGCGCTCAGATCCCACAAACACAGTCAAATTGCCATGGGGTTTAAGTTTAGCAAGGGCTGATATCCAATTAAAGGGCCAGAACAGTCTTTTAAACACCAATGCAAGTCCATAAGCCCCAATACTGTTTTTAAAGTGCCAAATCTCCCAGGGGCAATAGTCCCAAGGCATGAGGCTGGCAATCAGTCCCCTCCAAAAAAACTAGTGGCAAGGTCCCTTTCGCCACAATCCCATAACCTCTTCCATACACAATGTGCTTTGGCAACATACCTACTTTGTCATGCCAATAAAGCCGGCTTGAGACACTGAAACAGAATTGCGACCGATGTCCCAGTGTTACAGCTTGAATGCAGTGCAGAATTATTTAACATGGTCATTGCAAAGACAAGCTGATTGGGTAATTATCCAAAAGTGTCAAAATAATTGAATGTAACTATCTATCCACACTTATTTTTTAGCAAAAACAATTTAAATTAAAACAAATAAATAAAAACACAACATCTAAAACTTATAAGTAACAGCTTTCAGGGTTCAAAATGGAAAAGCCTATTGCTAATGAGATCTAAAAGTTACTCACCTCAGCAACCCTTTGACAATATGACCACTGGTAATGAACAGGCAGCAGTAACACAAATGATTCATGCAGCATTTAGCAATTCCTAACGTGCTCTACACATTGTATGTTTAATCAATACATCTCTATGAGGAAAGTATAGTGTCTGCATGCAGAGGGAGGAGACACTGAATGGCAGTCACAATGTGCAGCACTGCCCCAGGAAGCACCTCTAGTAGCCATCTGAGGAGGCACAAGTGGAGTTTTTACTAGGCTGTAATGTAAACACTGCATTTTCTCTCTAAAAGAGACAGTGTTTACTGCAAAAGGCCTGAATGAAATGATTCTACTCACCAGAACAAATACAATAAGCTGTAGTTGTTATGGTGACTATAGTGTCCCTTTAAAACACTCTTACATATTCCTTCCCCTGTCCATTGCTTTCACCGTCTCTCTCGTTTTCTATTGTCCCCTTCTATTCTCCTCTCCCTTCTTTCTATTGCTCTCCTAACCCCTTCCTATTGCGCTCCATCTTGAAAAAGCTCATTTGCCCGGATAGGTTTTTATTGCATATTTTCACATGAAATCTTTATGAAAAACTCACAGTGAAAGACTTTGAAATTCAATTAAACTCCAATTCAATAAATGAAACTAAAGACTACTTTGTCCCAAGGTCAACAATCAGACTGCCAAGACTTGACAAAAAGCAGAGCTTCCAACCTCAAAATGTTATCAATTTCTAGTAATGGCTCTTGGATGAAGTCTTTATTTCACCCCTTTATAGTTGGAGTCAAAAAGGATTTTGCAGTCTTGTGGGATTCTCCATTGACCCAAGACAGAGTACAGCGGTGATACTGGATCCTGGTAGATGACGTGCCATGCTTTAGCTACAGATTGGCTCAAAAGAGTATGTATATTTCATCAGTTTAACGCTCGGCCATTCCACACTGAGCAGAGTGATCACTTATGGGGCTTTAGCAAAGTATGTTGACTCCCAAAGGCAACAGAGACACGCTAATGCATCAGCTATACAAGATTAAAGAAATACTGAGCACCAAAGTAAACTAAAGCTGAAAGGAACACTAGAGGCCGCTTCCCAGATTCTCAGTGAGTAAAATCGCACTTATTTGATGCTGGACGTCCTCACAGAGTCCAGCATCAAATAAGATCCCCATAGGAAAGCACTGAGTAAATATTTCCTGTGGGCGGGTTTGAATGCGCGCATGCGGCTCCACTTGAGAGCGGACGTTGGCAGGGAAGAAGAGGTCACCAGCACGAGGGAGCCAGGTGCTGGATTAAGGTAAGTTGCTGACAGGGTTTTAACCTCTTCAGCTAAGGGGGGGGGGGGACTACCTATTAACCCTATAGTGCCAGGAAAAGTGGATCCCTTTAAGGAAAATGGGGGTCACAACCTGTATAGAGATAGTCCATTTAAACAAATAAGATGATAAACAGATGCTTCTATTACCCAACACAAAAAGCAGTTAATTTTATTAATGCATACATTTACCAAATAAAAACTGGAAGGTATGAAAATGCGGCACACTATTGACACAATAGAAAAATTGCAAGAATAGCATGCAAAAGCTTCATCCTAAACTCTTTTTAGGGATGTCTCTGTTGGTGTCAGCACAACAGGCTTCAAATCACATGCCTCAACAACGGAAGGCATGCATCCACAATGCAGAGATAGGAAAGTCACCAGGGGTTAGACTACTAGTGATGGAACTAAAATGAGAGTTGACAAACAGATGTGGGTGCATGCAAGGGTGGCTTTCCAGTCAGTCTGAAGCGCTCTGCTGTGGGCCCAGTGCAAAACAAGAAAAGTGCCTAATAATGCGCTCACACCACACAGATGGAGGACATTTCCCTTGTGTCTCCAGAAGCAGGACGCCAGAGAACCAACCAGAGTCAACAGGATCCCAGATGCCATAGTTGGTAAAATATGAAACCTGGGCTACTGGGCAATATGATTCATTGAACGGCAAGCACACAAAACCATTGAAGATACACTGCAAGCATCATAGCCACCGTAATGTCAGACGTATCCTGATACCCTCTCAGAGTGAGCGGTCGAACCATTTAAGGATGGTTTTACAACTTATCAGGGGTCCAACGCTTACCCACCCAACATTTCAAATGGACACAAGAGGGACACTTTCATTGCAGAGGTGTGACCAGGGCTGTTCTGAGAAATTGTAGGGCATCTACGAACACCAAGTTATGCAACGGTTATGGAATTTAGAACAAGAAAAATTAATTTTATTTAAAAAAAAAAAAAAAATTTACTGAAGTTTAAAAAGACATTACTGTGAGCATTACTGCTGTGGAGCTCTGTTATTCACTCAGACACACCAACAATATGGAGCTCCTAGACACGCAAGACATTTTGGATAGGAAAAAAAAAAAGGTACAGAGAGATATGCCCAAAATAAGGGGCTGTCCCCGCAGCCGTGCGCCCATCACCACCTATTGCGGCGTTGTTAACGCCAGTGAGGAGCTTCTATTAGTTTCACAGTGATGAACAGCGCTACGGAATCTGATGGCGCTATATAAATAATAATAATCCCTGCCAGCGGAGGATAGAACACCGGCTTGTTGAAAGCGTTCTCAAAACACTCTCACTCCTACTACCATAACCACTTCAGCATGCTGCAGTGGTTATGGTGCTCAGTCCTCCTTAACCTCCCCCCCCCCCAAACATATAAAACCAAATCCAGCTGCTCACAGGCTGTGGAGAATGTGACAGTGCTTTAACATGACAGCTTATAGCAAAATAAAACATTATAGAAAACAAAATGAGCCAGAATAAGCCGTGTGCTATTAGACACATTAACCATTGAAAGCTTATTAAATGTAAACCCTACCCACCACCACCTGACCAGCAGTGAATGGAGGGGTATTAACAATAAACAAACAATAACGGTCCTGAGGCAGCGCTGCCCCGGCGGGACTCGCACCGCGCGCAGGCCACGCCCACCTCACTCACAGACTTTTATTATTTAAAAAAAAAAAAAAAAAAACATTCCTCAAATCTTGGTCGGTTGGGCGCGGGGCACTGCGCGTGACTCACGCCGCCCGCTGACGTCATCCGTCTGGTGTTGTGTGTCTGTGTTGTGGTATTTATTTATTTTTTTCCCTCGCGCGCTCTCTCTCACTCTCCCCATTACGTACGTGTAATGCTGCGGCTTCTCGGGCTGCGCCTGCAGCGCCCCGCCTCCAGCCGCGGGTGCCGGCGACGTGGAGGCCGCCGACGGGGAGCTGGGAAGGGGACCCTTCGACATCTTCGGCTTTCCCTGCTCCGTCGCTTTTATCGCAGGCTCTTCGCGGGACGCCGCGGCAGGGCCCGAGCGCGCCTGCGTCGACGCCATGGCGAAGGAAGTGAAAGCGGCGCGTTCCCGGAGGGGCCGCGCGGCACGCCGGTAGTTGTAGTCCCTGCCCAGCGCTGGGCAAGCGGCAGGTGCGGCCAGCCGAACTACAAGACCCATAAGGAGGCGGAGCCCACCGACCCGGACCCTGTCAGTTTTCGAATTGCATTGTGGGGGTTGCAGTCTTTGCGCTGCTTGGCGCTCAAGCGCTCCTTTTGTTATCAAGTACACGTTCAATGCTGGCTCCCTGCTAGTACTAGAGCAGTCACGTGACGGCCTTTTATTAACCCCTTTAATGCCACACACGAGTGGTTTTAGTGAATCTTTTTTTATATATTTTTTTAAAACCTGCTCCTTCCCTTTCTCCCCTATCTGTGCTATTTACTAAACTGAGAAATGGGACATTTAAAGCACGAAATAATTAAACTTGGAAAATCCCATCCCGCTGTGCTTCTCTTTTAGCTACTAAAAGCCACCTAAATTATTACATTTACTCTGAGTGACCGAGTGGGAAATGTTAAATTTCCCGAGTCATATTGTACAGTTCAGCTATTTTGAATTATATGGTTTGTTTTTTTTTTACTTTACTTTAAATGGCCAACAGTTCAGAGGGTTTATTCACTAAACATCAAATTCTAATTAGAATGGAAGGAAAATGCTAAGTTTCACAAGTAGGGATTCTGAGAATTTTTCAAAATCTGTTTTCTTTGCCTAAATTTTGTCATTCGGGGCACTAAACGGGGTTATTTACTAAAGTGAGAATTATGTGGAATTTTAAAGGACCACTATAGTGCCAGGAAAACAAACCCTCAGGGTCCCACTCCCGCCTGGAGGAAAGGGGTTAAACATTCGCCTTTCTCCAGCGTCGGGCTCCCTTGGCGATGGGGACTCTCCTCCTCCTTCGGTCGTCATCGGCTGAATGCGCATGCGTGGCAAGAACCGCGCGCATTCAGCCAGTCCATAGGAAAGCATTCTCAATGCTTTCCTATGGACGCTGGCGTCTTCTCACTGTGAAAATCAGTGAGAAGCGCCTCTAGAGGCTGTCAATGAGACAGCTACTAGAGGCTGGATTAACCCATAGGTAAACATAGCAGTTTCTCTGAAACTGCTATGTTTACAGCAGGCAGGGTTAATCCTAGATGGACCTGGCACCCAGACCACCTCATTGAGCTGAAGTGGTCTGGGTGCCTATAGTGGTCCTTTAAGTGAATTCTCCACATATCTGACTTGACTGGGATATTTAAAAACAGAAAAGCGAATTTCAAATTGAAAAACAAAGTAGATTAATTGGAAGCAAAGGTGACTTGGGAAAAAAAATCTAGTTCAGATACTGTATCTTGATTTACATTCAAAATTAATTTTGAATTCTCACTTTAGAACCCTGCTACTTAATAACCATGTCAGTGTTTAGTGTATAAACCCCTTAAGACAATAACCCTGTTAGTCTGTATGTAAGCATTAAAGAGAAACCATTACTTCCTCAATTTTAGGACAACCTAACAGCGAACTAAAAGTAAACTGTTTGTGCCACATTTTTAAAAACTGTAGCATCTTTTATTTTATTTTAAAGGGTTACACCAATCTTCATGACCACTACAACCCACTGTTCTTATTATGCCAGGAGTTCCCTCGTAATGGGGCAAACTGTTTAGCAGCGGTTTGCCCTCTTACCTGGGTACCCGTTTGGTTCATGTTCTTAAAGTAGCTGCAGTCACCATTCAGAGCGTTAGCTGACCAGTAAAAAAAATGCACAGAATGGCTAGTTATCCTAGCTTTAGTGAAAAGATCATCTTGATTTTTTTAATGATGGGAGGCGACTATTTGGTTTGATTTACTTTACTGCATCTCCGTGGTTACCAAATCCACCATACCCAGGACATACGTGAAAATGAGAGAAATCTCAATGTGTCTTTCCTGGTAAAATATGTTATAAATAAATGTTTTCAGGGAAACATCATTCTTTTCATGTTCATAAAAACGCATGTAAAGGGTTTGCCCTGCGACTTGTGTAAATGCATATATTCATTACCTAATTATTTAATCTCATTCACATTCTTCTGAAGTCTACATACTATAGGGCGATCCTTTTCATGTGCTGCTTATCAGTATGTATACATGATAGGTATCCCTGAAAACATGGTGGATATGTTAACCATATCCATAGCAGAAAAAACAAGTAAACATTAACCTATCAGAAACAAGAAAAAACAGGGTATAAAATGTCTCCTATTCCTTTGACAAACATAACAAAAAATAATGTGGGTCAGTACCGCCGTGAAGCTGTGCAGACTTACAAAAACTACTAGTTTTTCCGTCCTGATAATGAAGAAGCAATGAAGATTCGCAAGAAAATACGTGAAATAAATTTACCCTTTAAACTACTGTCTGCCAGTGGATCTTCTTACTATCTGAACCCACTGACTCCCTCAAATTCTACAAACTATAATTTAAAAATTGTCAATGCATACTCATAACCGCACTCCACTTGGGGAACCAGACAACCCACTACAACTGCCTCCCCAGAACAAAAGACGGGCCAAAACCTTGCCCCTACAGATTCCAAGAAAACTAGAAGCCACTGACAGCTTATCACATAGCATACAGTAGGGGTTTGAAAGGTTTCTCCTTATTGGTTAAAGGGACACTATAGTCACCTGAACAACTTCAGCTTAATGAGGTTGTTCAGGTGAGAACTATAGCTCCCTGCAGCCTTTCTCGTGTAAACACTGTATTTTCATTGAAAGCTAGGAACACCTCCAGTTGCAGTCACTCAGAGTGAACCAGAGGGACTTCTGAGTTGATGGAGGCATAATATGTCTCTATCCACTCAGATCTGCTGTGCACAAGCATCCTGTGATTCAGTATCTCCTCCCAGGTCTGTATGCTTTCACATTGATTGTGTTTACACTTTTCTCCCTGTCTCCATACTCTTCGGAGCTCCTTGTCTTTGTTTTATGCTATTGTATATAACATCATGTGATTTTAAGGTATGTACACTTTCTCTTTCACATTGTGTTCACCTTTGATACTTGATGCTTCACATGTACATGTGCATTAGAAATCCAATTTGCAATATTCCCTTTGTTTTCATTACCACTTTAAAATAATGATGGTATTTTAAATGGTAATTTATATAAAACATACTGTCTGATAACACGTGTGTTATAAAATTATAAATTGGAGTAAAGATAATAAGGAAATGAAATACTGAATGCAGACACTGAACTTTCCTCATAGAGATTTATTGATTCAATTCATCTCTATGAGGAGATGCTGATTGGCCAGGGCTTTGTTTGAATCATGCTGGCTCTGCCCCTGATCTGCCTCCTTGTCAGTCTCAGCCAATCCTATGGGGAAGCACTGTGATTGGATCAGGCTACCACATGTCAGCAGACTGCTTGTTTTTCCTGAGTCTAATAGCATGCAGATTGACAGCTTCTGGCTTGAATACAGTAAGATTTGTACTATATTTATGGAGGCATGAGGGGCCCAGGGGGGCTAGATGGTCGTGTTAACACTATAGGGTCAGGAATACATGTAGTTGCACTGGTGACTATAGTGTCCCTTTAATCTTATATCACAGAAACCCAATCCCTTGACAGATGGAGAATTTATAGCCCAAGTTCGACCTTTACTCAAAGCGATTCCGAAAGTATTCACCGCTCACTTGACGCTAATCACACTGTAATTATAGCGTTAAGTAAGTGTTTTATGTCAACTGGTGTAAGCCAGTGCTGCGTGTTTGCTAATTGGTAAATGCAAATTGTCTCCTGTGCAGAGGAAAATTAATCAGCTTGCTAATTAGAGTCAGACATTAAGCAACAATCTAAGGTACAAAAACTTTTTCAACTTTCAACATAAGGAGCATATTTGTTTGCAGTCTGCTGCCTTAATAGATAACAGAGCTATTTGGATATCGGGTATATAGTAATAAGCGACTGTACCGAGTATCCTGCGACAGTCAGTAATTAAATATGTATCAGTATCTACCTTTGGCCCCTATGGGCATTTTAGCATTTACTGCACCTTCCCTTGGTAATTTAGAAACCGCATCATATAAACGGAATAGATACGAACTGAACGTAGCTGTTAAGACATAAGTGCGGGCTATCCCTTAAAAACTTGTTCGCATGAAAACGGCATTAACTAAGAACATGAATAAAAGCCCCTAGGTAATCTTTATGTATATCGAAGCTCAGTTGAGGAAATTCTCAAGTGTCCAGAATTGCACGTGAGCTTGCTTATAGGAATAGTCCCGGAGTTTTCAGCGGTGCATGTTGAGCTGAATTATGGAACGGTAAGCTATCTGCATACCGGATCGGTGAGGTCCTTTAGGACGCCGGTCTTCCATCTGTCCTCCCTTTGGACTCAGTCCCCCGCGGAGCGCTCCGCGATGCCGTGGGCACTCGGGGTCCAGGCCAGTCCATGAGACCCCCCACAAAAGTCCCAGCACCCGCCGTCCCCTGCACCTCCCCAGCATCGCTTGCGCTGCCAGATAACACCTGGACCCACGAGTCTCACCCGGTACAGGCCTCACACTTAGGGCCGATGCGCCTCCTCCCTCACGGCCCCCGGTATACCGGAGGGGTTTAGAGCCCTCTGGCCCCACAGGACTCATTGCGCCAAGGACATCCTTCTCCGGGCCACCCAGAAACCCAGATGCAGGGTCCAGTATCGTCACCAGGGGGGCAGGCCCTCTGGGGTGTCCGTCCGTGGGCCGACAGCCGTCTGGGCCCCTCGAGCCTCATACAGAAGCCTCCACACAGAGGTAGGTAGACCTCTCCGTGCTTGCCTGTATTCCGTCTGCCCTTATCTGCTGGCGGGCTGTTCCTGGGGAACCTTTGTCAGTGTAGGTGATCGACCCGCGGGGGCCTCTGTCGCCGCGGAGGTCGTCACCATGTGGCCGGGGTAACCCCCACCGGCCTGGGGGGGAGCGGGGCCGCGCCGCCGGCAGGGCCCGTCCGTTCAGCTTCGGGTCCAGGTCTCACTTTCGACGTCC